GCCAATGTTGCAGCAGACCCAAATGAGAAGTAAGCGGGAGATGAACAAGAGAAACCAGTGTGGGAAGGTGCACAGTGGAACTGCATCAAGAAGTTTATACTTACGACGAGGAGAGACTCGCTGGCATTCATCCCCGCTGCAACAGGAGAAACGTGCACGGTAGGTTTTCCCTTTCCCAAACTCCAAGTATATGTCGGTGGAATTGCAGACTCCTAAAGATGTGCAGCCCTTCATGGCATTATGAACTAGCTTTCCAGCTGTGGTGCAAGTGAGAAGAAAGAGGTTTGTTCCATGACTAGCAAAAGGAGGATGCAGATAATGAGGATTCTTAGGGTCTCTGTCAGGGGTGGGAAGTGAGAAGCTTCCAACAGGAAGGGATTGACTATGGCCTCTGGCCCCCTCCCCAGCAGTCTCAACTGCGGAGCATGAGTTCTGCTCCTATTTCTATTTGGATCGACTTTCCATTGAGCCCAGTAACTGGTCCAACTCACACGGACTGAATACGCTACTCATTCCCAGCCATTCAGATCTCCTAGTCAGGCAGGGAGAAGGTCTGAGCTTAGTCGGAAAAAGCCAAGCCAAGCCAGCAACAAAACGAAACAAAACTCGGCAAACGCTTCTGTATTTCCCAACTGCTTCATGAAGGGAATTTGAAAGGGTAAGGAAAAGTTTGCCAAGGTAGACATTCTGACGAAAGCTTTTTGCACAGCCCTGCCTCATTCCCGAATGTAATCTCTTCTAGAAGTATGGCTGAAATTTGTGGACTGGCTATTAAAGAGAAAGACGCTGCCATTCCAAACTTGTCAGCATCCTGCCCAAGCTGAACATTGCAAGGAAATTTCCATGACATAAATGTGGGATATTTTGGGACAGCATCCCTTTAGGGATGGGCAAGAATTGTGCTTGCTTGACTTTGATAATAAATTAGCAACATTCAGAAAGTTTGCCATATTCAGGGCAAAAAGAATTTGAGATGTTTGAAAAATGAACCTGGTAGAAGTTGACAGATGGTCCATCCAAGCTTTGAGAGTTCAGATTTTAGGAGTCTTGGCCAGAGCCCCATGGGTTCGACCATGTTAGTGCTGAATTAGGATTGGCAGTTCTTCTTTTCTGACACAGACCTCCTGTTCAACAACTACATGGCAGCGGGGTACAACACTGCCCTCTCTTCATATTGGGAATCTCACAAATGTTTCTGTGGGGTTTTGGTAACAACTTACCAAAACTTGCAACTTTCATCATGTTTGGGAGAGAAAGAACAGGCGCTTTTAACCATATGACTGCTGTTGGGGAAAAAAAAAACCCGGGAGATGTGACCCTCCTACATCCATTACCATCAAGAATTGAAAAGCAAATTGAAAGCTTGCTTGAACTTCATGCAATGCCATTGTTTAGTTCATATCAGACTGAAAACAGTATAAAACTTGGACATGCCTTGAGCTTTTGCTGATGCTAGCAGGACTCAAGCCCAAGCCCCAACCCTTGCTTGATCCGTGTCGTAGCTTTTCCTTCACCTTGCCTTCACCTGTGGAACATCTACAGCACGATATGGCTTAGGGTTCCTCCCACCTACTGTAAGTATGTTCTGCATATCCAACATGGCAGGTATCTTGTCCAGGAGCACAAGTCTGCATAGAGCCATTGCATGTGTGGCCGGTGCTGTAACAAGACTCACACTCCAGAGAAGCACCTGGGAAATGGAAGCAAGGAAAGGGGGAGTAAGACGGGGCCAGCATCTTGACTCACGCACACTTTGATGCTGTAGCGTGAAGGTGAAGGAAGGTGCGTGTGATTGCATTTCCTGGCTACCGTTTCTACACGTGAAATGAGATGGTAAGACTTATTCTAATCACTATTGTTTTTGTATTGTGCCTTTCACATGCCTGAGACCTACAAACACGATTAACTTGAAGTCACATTGATTTCAACGGGTTGACTCTAAGCAGGATTAAATTTGGATTGTATCTGGCTTCTTTTCTTGGCATGGATGGGTTTGGCCTCGTGCATTATGAAATTTGAATTCATTTAAGAGCAAATAAAGAGGAAAGCATATGCAAATTAAAGCACATGCGTTCCTTTCCGTTTGGAGTATGGACAAAAGTTAAAGTGAATGCTTCGTCTGAGACATTCTCTAAGAAGGAAAAATGGAAGGGGAGGTTGCCAGCACCTCCTAGTTGCGCCGCGCTAGTCAAGCCAGCAGCAATACCAGACCTTCAAAAAGTCAAGAAAAGGGTAAATGGCTTTTGATGAAAGGAAGAACAAAATGGAGGGGGGGGGTCTGAATTGTAAGTCCCTGGCCCCCCCCATCAGTTTGGTGTGTCCCCCGCATCCAAAAATTATTAATTTTTCTTGCTGCTTCATTTTGCTTCTAGATCAAGTCAAAATACCTGCTCAGTCAAAATGCCCAAGTGAAACAAAACTGGAAGAACAGCAGCGTGGGTATATCCTTCCTGCCAATAATCTGACACCAGCCAATCTTATCTCGAAGGAACAGGTTAGGGTCAGACGATGCTTACCTGCCACTAGTAGGGCGACGAAGAAGAGGAGTCCTAGAAATGCCTCCATCATTGTGGGATATCCACAAAACTCTCTCCAAACTGAAACAATTTATTGGGTTCACAGAACCTGCCATGACATTCAAGGGCAACATGTATGCCTGCCAATCCATTACCACACTTGGCAGGTAAATGAGACTGGGGTGAATAAATGCACACATCCATACAAATCTTCCACATTCAGATTTAACGTTTAAACTTTGCAGGGATGTTCATTCTGGGGTATTGTTCTGAAAGCCAGTGTGGTGTAGTGGTTAAGAGCGTGGGACTGGGACTCGGGCGATCTGGGTTCTAGTCCCCGCTCAGCCATGGAGCCAACTGGGTGACTCTGGGCCAGTCACAGACTCTCAGCCCAACCTACCTCACAGGGTTGTTGTTGTGGGGATAAGATGGAGGAGGAGAATGATGTAAGCTGCCTTGAGCCCTTTGTAGGAAAAAGACAGGGTATAAATCGGGAAGAGAGAGAAAAAAAAGCAATGTTCCCTTCTGACAGATCCTCATATCAACCCGATAGTGTCATAGCTAACACAAAAGGGAGGATCTTTGTTCTTCAGACTGATTGCAGAAATCCAGGATTGTTGCAATGACTGATCCAATGATGAGGTTACCAGCTTTCACTTCTGAAAGTTCAGCATGCCACATCTGGTGCACAACAGGAGCCACGAATGGGCCATTCTCTTCCAAAATTCAGGGAAAGTATTGTGCTACAGATCACTAGCTGAACCAATACCTTTAGAAGCTGGGCAGCCCTCTGAGTGGGATGGTGTCACGTGGTGTCCTGCAAGAGCAGAGGCTGGACTCGATAGCCTTCATGGCCCCTTCCAACTCTACTATTCTATGATTCTACGATTCTTCTTTTCTCTCAGAATGAGTTCCTTCTGAGTGAGGGGCATAACTCTCTGGAACATTTTCATTTTAATACATTTGGCAGAGAATAACTGCAGCCGCAAGACCCCTTGTGGCTTTAGAATATAATTCTATATATATAATTCTAAATGTAATACAATGTTGGCTTCCAGATACAGCTACAGAAGTGGTGGTGCTCGAAGGGGAGGGCTCTTCCATGGGGCATGGGGCAATGGGGCAGGAAGAGGGCGATAAATGGCTTGTGCTCCATCACACCCGCCTTCGCCAATCACATCACCTCCAGAGGTGCTGCACTAGGACTCCCAGCATCTCCGGCTGCCAGTGTAACAGGATGAGAATGCTTGGCACTGTAGTACACCCACCCTAGCTGGCTAGTGGATGCTGGAAATTGTCGTGTAACACATCCAGGTGGCACTAAAGTTGGGAAGTTTTGTTTCCTGCTTGGTGACAGGACTAACAGTCAGAAACTACCTGTGAAGCGTCTTGATTTAATCTAACTGCAGCCACCGAAACGGCCTTCAGTTCAACCTACCTTCTGCAACTGCCATCCAGGCTCCCAGCTGGCATTCCATTTCATTTAAAGGGAAACTACCTTTGCTGTCACAACTGAGTGGAGAGGGTCTCCCTTGGTGTGGGATGAAGGGAAGGCTATGAAAGGGGGCTGAGATTCCCCTCTGCCGTTGGGCAGTCCACTCTGCTTCCAAAGCTCAGGCAACCGGCCCGAGCCACCAAGCGGCCAAGTGGCCTTCCTGTTGTTACATACAGAGGCCGCCAGAGCGTCCATCCGCTGTCCGCTGTGGCTCCCGCAGGACAGCAACGGAACTCTTTTTTTCCTCTTCTGCAAACAGCAATTAAAGTTACCGCATTATGTGGATTGTCTTCTCAGTCACTTCAGGGACATGGTGTCTTTGGAAAAACTGCAACCTGAGGTGGCTGGCAGATTCCACCAGGGAAACTTCAGGTGCCTTCAGGTGAAGACACCTGGTTGAGGAAGGCTGTGCTCCGGTGCTCAGACCTGATCTGGTGGTGGCACAAAAGCAGGTGAGAGCACACTCTGCAATGGCTCGATTGTAATACTGGGCTCCTTTTACCTGTGTTGAACTGTTGGACATGGACATAGACGGCAAGGACATGGATAATGCACTGCTGTATCTTTGGCTTCTCCATCACTTCTGTCACTCCCCCCACCCCTGAGGCAACATGCCAGAAAAACAAAGAGCAGCAAAGCAAGATTGGAGGCACGGGGGTCTCATTCTAAATAAATAAAATCAGAAATGCATGATTTCATCCTGTCAGAGCTGCAAATCTAAAGACACCAGGTAATGTATGTATTCTCTGGCCCCTACAGCCTCTGGAAGCAGTGGATCTGGTTACCTGCTGAGGTGGGGATGCAAGATTGATAGGCATCTTTGGACAGGAAAAATGACAGAGAATTCAGATTTCGTTTATTGCAAGTCTGGTTTTTATTGTTACTAAGGCAGTCAGAGCAAATCCATCAAGAAAGCCAAACCGGAATGCGAGAAGATGATGTCAGGGTGAAATGGGAGCATCGCTGAACACAAAGTGGATCTGCTCCCAAGCAAGGTCCTTTTACAAGAGGACCTTTACCAGCAGGAGTCCAGAGAAGGCTGGCAAGAGGAGCCCGGAAGGGGGAGCTCCCTGAGAAACATCTGGCCGGCAAGATGCCTTCTTGACACGATCACCTCCCACAATGGGAGACCGGCCACTCTTTATGGTGAGACAGACCGACTCGGTGGTGCAGCCCCTCAAGATGTACTCGATCTGGTTTCCATCTGAACATGGATGATAAGACGGGCAGTCAGGTAAGTCGTGGTTGCCAGAGCCTCTGCATCCCGCCTGGCAACCCTACCCTTGATAGGAACTAAAGTCTCCTGAAGGGGTATGGCGCTCAGCCAAGCCCTTCTCTTCAGAGCCGTGGAGCCTCATGGAAACCAGCTATGGCCTTGTTCTCCGTCTGTTCATTTCAATGAGACTTTGGAATTTCAATGGAGTGTTTCGAGTGTAAGCCATGTGCCTGAGAAAGCCCCAGTTGTGGCCAGTCCCCCTGCCTCTTTCTGTATGTTCACTTCTTCACGACATTTCTGTACTGTTCCAGACCTACACAGAATCTGGAGCAGTGAACAGTAAAAAGGCCAAACTATATTTTACAAAAGAATAGAACACTATTAAAAATTAGTAAAATACCAGTAAAAGCAAGCAAACAGAAAGGATCAATCAAAGAAGGCTTCCTGAAATGAAGCTGTTTTTGGGAGGCACCAAACACAACAAAATATTGGTGCCTGCATGACCCCTAGAGGCAAGGAGTTCCACAGAAACGGGGCCACCACCCTGAAGACTCTTCCCCAGGTGGACCCCAGTCAAGCCGTAAGTCCAGGTGGAACCACCGGGAGTGTGTCAACTTCAGCGACTGAGCAGGCTGATAAGAGGGAAGGCTCCTTCTCCGGTATCCTGATCCCGAGTTATTTAGGCCTTCATGACACTAACGGGGAAACCTTACTCCTGGCCTAGAAGCAAATAGGCAGGTCTTATCAGAAGCAGTAGGGATCCGCTTTGTCTCCCCAGCTTTGTTTGTGCTAGATATTACTCCAGTACAAATCTTCCCACATATAAAAGGGCTGCAAAGTGCACGGCACCTGGAATGGACCTTACCACTCATTTGCACTGTGTTCACATCAAAGCAATGCTTCTCCGCTCCTGTGCAATTTACCATCTCCGAAGCACATGTGCCTGATGAACTATAGCATGCCGGACACTGAATTCCGTTGGCTGTACTGTCTGTTTCTGGCACTGGAAACAAGAAAACGACACACAGTCAGCTGGAGAGGATGGAACTGCTGGCAAGTAAGGAAGACAGAGAGAAAAGCGGGGAGTTGGTTATTTGGTGGAGAGATAATGTCATGCTAAGCAGAAGCTGAGGTGCTCAGCTAAGCAGAGGTTGGAGTGAAGTTGGCATCCATGAGGCATGTGGAAATATTAGATAATAAAACAGTGCAGCCAATAGATACAGGCAGTTGGGAACCTGGGTGACTGAAGGTGGTGACTTCTGGGTCTACAGACCAAGCAGAAATAACAGAAGAGAGAGGACAGGTCAGTGTTTCTGGATCAATGGGCTGGAGGTGAAGGAACAGGCCGAATAAGGGGCTGTTGGACCACACACAATATTAAAGGAGATCAATTGATGATCCAGGAGAGGCCCGTCTGCAGCAGAAAGGTCAAAGCCAGATCAGCTCTGGAAGAAGACGAGTCAAAGAATGTCCAAGTTAGTGCATTGAGGAATCTGTCATGGGAAGCAGGATGCCCTGCAAGATCCCGCAAAGTGGATTGGCCGGGATCTTGCAAGGCAGTGTGTCATACCTGCCATCCCAGGGAAAACTAGTGCTTATTTCATGCTGCTGTGACCTTGCGGTGTTTAATCGGGTTGTGCTTGGGTTCCTGAAGGAAAAAGCCAGACATAAATAGCGGGCTTTGCTCTTATGTGATGGATGATAAGGAATGGTTGAGGATGACCTCTCCCAAAGTGCAGCCTCTGTGATGCAGGAAGCCAAGCCTACAGGTGAGGGTTCAGGTACGCAATGGACACATCCAATGAAACCGTATACTCACATTCAGGTGAGACTTGTTTGCAGTTGCTTCCAGTGCAACAGACTACTCCTGCCCGGTAGATTTTCCCACCTCCCATGTTCAGTTCTAACGCGGGAAGAGTACACACCTCCAGGGTCTCACAGCCTTTTATCTCACTCTGCGTTGTTGCTCCATCTGTTATGGGGAGAAACAGAGGGATGCTCACTCACGGGCTGGCAAAATGCCCGTTAAGTAGGGAGCATTTAGCCGAAGGAGGCATACGGCAGGGCGCATGGACCCTGCACGATCGCCATCATGAATGCCTGGGTCAACAGTGTCAGGGTGGGGAGAAGCAATGTCTTCCAAGCGCAGCATCCTGCGCTTTCCAATAGGAGTGAGTGGCAGCCATGGTAGCCCTGAAAGGGGCTATGGATGCCTTCGACCCGACCTCTTCCCTCACCCCCCCAATCTCATCCACTGAGAATACGTCGCACCCCTATTTGTGTAGGTCACGAATAACAACCCTGCAAGGGTTCCAAACAAATGGACTGAAGGGAAGTGAGGATTCCTGTGCATGGCACCTCCTGCTTCTCATTCTCCAACTACTCTGGGCAAGAGCTAATTCCAAGTGGCGAAGGAAAGCTGTGAATGTGTGGATCCCACTTCTTGCACTGGACTGGCCCAGCTCAAGCTCTCTGTTTTGGACACCCTGGAAGGTGACAAAAGGTTAGGGACTCGTCGCTCTTGCAGTCTCCATGCCTGCCAGGGACTTGTCCCCATGGGCAGCATGGGGAGCGCTCAACCTCCCGTTTTCGAACGGTTCGCCTGCTCCTTCCGCCGGCAGACATGCTGCATTCACGGAGCCCTAGAAGGGCAGCATTCAACCTCAGTGAAGAAAAGCACACGTGTGCATGCACACACAAACACACACCCGCACACACAGATCCCATGCGGGCAGAGGCATTAAACTCCCTGGGCGTGAAATTGGGGAGTTTTGGAAAATCAGATCAGATTCTACCCAACTAGCAGGTTCCTTTTGCTTACTGCTGAAGACCACGTGCAAAATGGCCCAATTCACCTCACTCAGGCCCTGTTGAACCTGAAGGCTGAAGCTGGGCTTAGAAGGCCAGGATTCAACCCAGGTTCCATCCGCACATCAACTGGAAGCAGCTCTGCCAGGACAGGAAGGTCTCCCCACAACATTCCCCTCGTTTAAGGATCCTCATACCCACCCAGACCGCTTTCAGCAACTGCACTGAAACAGGTTTTCTGCCCATAAGCACAAGTCTTCATAGGGCCAGTGCAACTGGTGTTAAAGCCATGACACACTTCACAGTCCAGAGAAGAACCTTGAAGAGACACGGGGGAGAAAAGGAAACATAATGAAAAAGAAAAGAACCCACGTACATTCTACCGACACTCAGCTTCCTTTAGACAACGAAGAAGAATACGGAACATTTTGGGATTTGTAGTGCATTCTGATTTTAACAAAGGATGAAATGAAATTCAAAATAGTTTGAAGTTTAGAAAATGTAAACATTGAGCCATGCACAATTTTTAAATGCACAATTACGGGCACATCGAATACATTTGCTATTTCCTTTCTATTTCACTTCCCAGTTAAACCCAAGGAAAAAAATCAACTGAATCCCAGAAGTTTTATATATAGATATAGATATACTACCAGGATGAATGCAGACAGTGGGCTTATCTTCCATCGTGTGTAAAAAAAAAAAAACCCAAACCCCAATCATGCAATACCAGCTTGTGTCTGGGTCTTGCAATGTGACATTTCCTAAACAACCTTTCTACCCTAACGTTACCTGTTTCTAGAAGCACAGAAAAGAGGAAGAGCATCAGGAGAAACTGCATGGTGATGGCAATGGAAAATTCCCGGAATCTCTTTCTGCGGTGCATCACATTTCTTGCCCTAAAGAGCCTGCAATGACATTCAGAGACAATGTGCCTGTCCAGAGGTGATTTCGCATAGCTTGCATGCAATGGCTTAATAGCTGTGGGGAAGATGAAAGGGAGTAGAATCATGGCACCTATTCAGATAGTGTTACAAAGATTTCTTTTGGGATCTTCTCTGTTGGGTACAATTCTGGAAAATAATATAAGGCACTTGAAAATCCAAGATGCCATCTATAACATCATCCTTTTCTTCCATAGATCTAAGGGTTAGGGCTTGTGTGCATGCCTAGAGAGAGAGAGAGAGAGAGAGAGAGAGAGAGAGAGAGAGAGCGGGCGGGCGGGGGGGGGGGGGGGGGGGGCGGGGCTTGCTGATGACTGTCTGTTGTCTGCAGTCAAACAAACGAAACTGGCCTGGGATTAGAGTCCCTGATGCTTCAAAACATTGAAAAGTAGCAGAAATGATAAAATTCTCGTTTCAAGTTGCCAGGATCTTATGCAAGCCAGTTTCCCAGATAGTTTTGCTGTAGGGACTCTCTTCCCACAGCTACTTCGTGGCCAGTGGCCATCTATATTCACTTCTAGATCAACTGAAAAACGAAGGGTGGCTGGAGTCAGAACCCCCTTTTTGGCGGCAGAAGGAATACAATACTTGCATCCTGGAATGAGGGCTAAAGAAGTGGAAATGCATAAAAGGGGGTATGTTATTTCATGGCTTTCTACAGAAAAGGGGACGGGGAACTTGGCTAAATGAGCTGGGTTCCACTGCACATCCTAATCAGGAATCGCTGCCCAACCCAAATATGCCACCAATTCAGTACCTTCATCTAGTTTGAATCTTGCTACATTTAGGATTATTTTCAGTGGAACTCATGTTGAACTTACCTCTGGTAACTGTCACCGAGGCCGCAAACATTCCATGTCTTTTAAAGGGATACCAATTCTATCATCATCCTGGATGGGTCTCTCTTGGAAGGCTATGGGAGGTTATGTGTGGGGAAGAGTTCACTGTGTCGCTAAGTTCTCTCAGCCCGAGCTGCTTCTACTGATGCCGAGCTTGGGAATTGGTGTGACACATCAAGGGGTAACGGGCCCTTTATAAAGGTGTCCCCTGGGGCTTTGGTTAATGATGTAACTTTGATTCTTGTATTGGAGAAGACTGGTGGGATGTACGTGGTCTTATGGGGCTGGCATGGTGCAACATTCTCACACACAAAGGAAACGTCTGGTGCTGTGATTATTCTGAAGGTACAGGATGATTTTCCATACCTTCTTGTACAGCCAGCCACCTCCCAAATTATTTATTTATTTATCTAGCTGACTTGTATGCCGCCCCATTCGCCTAAGCCTCGGGGCAGCTTACAAATGAATAAATATCACTAATACAATGAAATACAGTTGGAGACATCCTGGCCAAAGTTGTTAAAATCAATAAAAAAAGTCAACAATTAAAATGACATTTAAATAAAAAGGTCTTGGACTGGCGCCGAAAAGCAAATAACGACGGCGCCAGGCGGACCTCTCTGGGGAGCGCGTTCCATAAGTTGGGTGCCACCACAGATAAAGCCCTCCTCCGGGTACTCACCCTCCTAATGTCCTTCACGGAGGGCTCCCAGAGAAGGGCCTCTGCCGCCGATCTCAAGGGGTGAGAGGGCACATATGGACGCAAGCGCTCCTTTAGGTAACCAGGTCCCAAGCCATTAAGGGCTTTATAGGTGGTAACCAGCACCTTGAATTGGGCCTGGACTTCAATGGGGAGCCAGTGAAGCTGACGGAGGACTGGAGTCATGTGAGCATAATCCCTAATTAATCAGGTTGCATCATCTGTACGATCGTCCCTCCGTTTAAAAATTAACACCATTGCATGTTTTCACAATACAATCCTAGTTTGTTGTGTTCAATGGGAATTGCTCCTAGGTAGGTGGGTGGAGCAGGTGTGGCGCAGTCTTTTGGCCCAGGGGCCACAGGGGAGGATGCTTGGGGATACAGGCCAGAGGTGGCCCAGGCCACAGGTCAAAGCAGTGCTTCTGAGCGCTTCTTTGGAGACAGACCATCCCACACAGAGACACCCCATGAGAGGAACCAGGTCTCAGCACACAGTTCCTCCGTGGGTGGTTTGTCGCCTTTCCATGTGGCTTGGCAACCAAGGGAGGGAGGGAGGACAAGAGGAACGGGTCCAGGGGAAGCAACGCCTGGGCAAATCCAAGAGGGAAGCCCTGCGGACACATCCAGCCATTGGCCAGAAGTTCCCCACAAGTCGGACGGCACGATCGCATCCAGCTGTGGCTAAGGCTGCTGTGCCAACTGCCCCTCCTCCAGGACAGGAATAGTCTCAACAGGGTTGTGCGCTCCAGGATCGGGGCCAGGACTGAAAGGCAATCTGGGCCAAGGGGACATGTGTCCCTGACCCAAATTTCTATGGGCGCATTTCCATCGTACATTCAAATGGCATTTGCTTTTGAACCCTGGTGTTTATTTTCATGGAGGGAAACGGAGACTTCGGCCTGAGGGTCCAACGGCATTCAGCGGAGGCGACGAATAGCTGCAGCAAAGACATCACTGGCTGCAGGCTTGATGCAACCCCATGCAGGTCCCTTTCAGGAGAGTATCTTCAACAGCAGGAGCCCAGAGAAGATAGGCAGGATGAGGCCAGAAGAGCAGGACCCCTTCGAGACATCAGGGTCACATTCAGCCTTTAGAACAAGATCTTCTTCTCCAAAAAAGGGGGACTTGTGTTTTTTAATGGAAATGCAGAATTCGCTGCTAGAGCATCCCTTCATGACATTGGTTAGAGGCACTCCTTCTGCACATGAAAGAGAAGTCGTGATTGAGGGATGAATTGCTGTCAGGAACTGCTCTCCAAACCTGTCCATCTCATCTGATTAAAAGGCGACCTGAACCCAACCTGAAGGAGGACCTGCTTCGAAGGACCTTAAAACTAGCTCAGTGTACACAGACCGAGAGCATGTTTCATTTCCATGAGAGCAGGTGGCTGTGCATGGCCCATCTGCCCAGAGCCCTCTAGCCCCATGGAAACGAACCGTGTCCCAGTTCGATGTCCATTTACTTCAATGGGTCTTTGCAGGAGTCTTTCCTGAGGATTGAGCCTGAGAGCTCATTCTGCCCCCACCCCACCCCCTTTGCCAGGAACAGGGCCTGGCTGGTCCTGCCGGCGTCTGCAGAGCCAGGCACTCCTCTGTGGATGAGGTTCTGGCAGGGATTAGTGGCGAAGAAATCGCGCGCTGAAGCCGAGGGCCCTGGAGACCGACATCAAAGCCCCCTTTGCACGGCTGCTCCTCACCACAGCAGTGCAAGCCATCCGGGACTCCTTGCCCCTTGGCTCCCCGCCTCTCCCTGCCTTGATCCAAGTATGCCTTGCCTCACTGCACCCTTATGCTCCAGCCATCCCTGGTCCTGGGACTCTTTCCAGCTTGCGCTCTCTCTGTGTGTGCTAAATCGGACTGCCCCTTCTGTGCTTCTGACCCTGGGTGGCTGACTTTGCTGGGTGCCAGTTTCGCCATCTTTTCAGCCCCAAGCCCACCCTCCACTCCCAGCACTTGATAGCGGGGCCTGTCAGCTGTTATAACAGTCCCAGCTTTTATTGAAATTGTTTTGAATGTTTAAATCGTTCTGCATTTTGTACATTGGAATGTTATCCTGCATTTTATTCTATTTGTATTTGCCTTGTCATCTTTTTTTATCCTACAAATAAATATATACATACATCATATCTTGTAAGCTGTCCAGAAACTTTTTGGTAATGGACAGCATGGAAACATTTTAAATAAATAAATATACAATGTATTACATTGCGGTAGAGAACTTTGGGGCAAAGCAGAAGCAATGCTGGAGGTGATAGCAACCACCAGTCTCTGCCCATCCTTCCATTTCACCTTACATCAAAAAAGTTTCCCTCTCGCATTTTGAAATAGTATTGTCAGTTCAAACAAATACTTGCCATCATTTTGTCTGGTTGTGGACAAATCAAAGCAGTGAGTATTTTTTCCAGTACAGTTTACCATCTCTGTAGTACATTTGTCTTCCCAACCATAACAGGAAGGACATATCTGTCCATTGGGGTTTGTCTCTATTTCTGGTACTGAAAGCAGAGAAAAAGATTACTTGGGAAAAAAAGATTACTCCGCTTAGAGATACAGGTGCAAACAGATGGGAATCTCATTGTGGCTTGCAAAACACATGAAGGTGCTGCCTTCACAACCCTGAACAGGATCACAAGAACAAGCCCACATTGCCCATATTATATGTTCGTAAATTACTAAACAGGTGTTCATGTCCTGTTTGTCCGTCCGTCCGTCCGTCCGTCCATCCATCCATCCACCACTGAAGAACAGAGCAATCATGTTTCCCAAACAACAGATGTACTTACATTTAGATTCAACACTTGAGCAGGTACCCCCTGTGCAACAGGTTAAAATTGACCTGAGGGTTTTTGCTGTTCCCAAGGAAAGGGTTATTTTGTTGGTGGAACAAATCTTGGATGTTTCACAGGATTTGGTTGCAAATTGTTCCAAGTTTCCTCCTGAAAGGAAAGAGGACACTGGGTTATTCAGTGACTAACTATCTACTCCCCATTGCAACCAGGACCCTTCTGAGATGCGGTGGGGGAGGGGGCAGTGGCCCTGGCTTCAGGGTTCCAGCAACCCCCCTGAGGGCCCCCTCCAAAATAACGGGGGGCTCTCCAACCCCCTGGAGGGCCCCTGTACTACATCTTTGGCTCCCACAGGCCTGGGTCTGTGGCTTATGCACTCCTTGGCCCAGGCTGCAGGGTCTTCCACCCACCTAGGTTATGCTCAAGGAGGGCGATGACGCAGGTGTCTTTATTAGATGCACAGGCAGTCATGGGACCAGTGCAGGTACTAGCATTGGCAGCACAGACTTCACAGGTCAGGGAAGCGCCTGGAAGAGAGAAGAAAAGAAACCCCATTTGTATCTACCATGGAGGGGAAGCAATGAACAGAAATGCCCCCCTCCCCCAGTGGCTGAGGATGGGTCAGTGGTCCCCAGGCAATGAGTGGCTTTTGCAGGAGGGAAGGGAAAGCCAGGCAGGAGAGGACAAAAAGCACATCCAGGCTCAGTGGAAGAGCCCCTGCGAGGCATAAGGTGCATTGGAGCAACCAAGGGTGGACTCAAAGGAGTCCAGATTTCTATGAATCCGAACTGTCAATTCTGCGGCAGGCCACTTTTTCCCAGATTGCATGGATTCCGCAGACCTGCAGGACTGTTGCTTTGCCTTCTGCACTTTTAAGAAGAGTTATAATAAAAATATTAAATTGCAAGCTGCCAAATGGAAAGACATGTTTTTCACCGTAGCCTAACATGGGTGAAAGCGCTTTTGGAGGGACCGGCAAGTTTTGGAGGGGAGTTGTGCATTTCCAGAAGTGCAAATGTGGATGCATTTGTGCAAAATCCGGGAATGAGTAGACAAAGGAATGGATGGCTGCTGAAAAAACACAACATGAAGATTTGATGGAGACGGTAAATCCCTGCTCTGCACACAGAAGGTTCCTAGTTCAGTCCTTGGCATCTCGACATAGAGCTGAGAAACAATTGTGCCTGAAAGAGAGCCAGTGGGGTGTGGTGGTTAAGAGGACAGGACTGGGACGCAGGCGATCTGGATTCTAGTCCCCACTCGGCCATGGAGCCCCCTGGGTGACTCTGGGCCAGTCACAGACTCTTGGCCCAGCCTGCCCCACAGTGTAATTGCTGCAGGGATGAGATTGGGAACAGTAAGAGAATGATGTAACCAGCTTTGGGTTTGTATAAGAAAACAAGTGGAATATAAATCTAATAAATAAATATTTTTTTTACAAAACTGGACAGCTTTTGCTGCCAGCCAGTGTCAACAATACGGGTCCACGGGTCTGGCTCAGTATAAAGTACTTTCTTACATTCCTGAAAAACGGCATGGCAACAAAAAACAGAGCAGAAGCACATACTGTTGTAGTTCCTGACATCATCTTTTTCATCATTCTTATTACTAATTAATGTAAACATTCCAAGACAAGCAGCTGGCAGCAAAGGAAAGGAAAGGAAGGCACCTCTGGGAGAAGGGAGATACGTGTCACCTTTTAAGCCTCCTTTGATAGCCAAGATTATTTCTAAAAAGAAGGACTGAGTTTCCCGCTGTCACCATCCTTCAATGGTAGGGTAGGGATGTACGAATCAGTGTATTCCTATAACTTTCTATATTTGAGCACATGTTTTCTTTGCACAAGAAAATGGGTTACTTTTTCCAAATATACACATAAACTCTGCTCATTTTTCCACGGGTGTACACTTTTTTTTTCAAAAGTGCACACAAAGTGGGAGAGGATTTGCTCTGCAGTTCTATAGAGACCTTGGCATATCCTTCATCTTGTACCAAAACCAAAAGATGATACCAATTTGGCGGTGACCTTATTCATCCCAATGGCCTGTGTCTCTAATGAAGAGACCAGTGCCTCCTTACCTGTTTTTAGGAGCATGAAGAAGAAGAACAAGAGTTTCAGGACAGTCTGCATGATGATGGGGAATTCACACAACCATTTTCTGCAAGAAATCCAGTTGACTGGCCACATTGCACGCATGTCATGTTAACATTTAGTAAGCTGGACCCCACCAAATTATTGCCTAGCAGGATTGTCTGGAAGAAAGAGGAGAGACATTTCTGCTGGAAGGAAGAGAAGATGATCCCAGAAGGATGCAGGGACAGAAAAGTAGTGGCTGACCCCTTTACCTATCTCCAGTCCTCGGATGTGGGTCACTGAACTGTGAGTGCCCCTGTCAGTGCCCGGTGGCTGCTTCTCTTCTGTGCCACCGCCTGTGCTTCCCGTGCCTGTATGACATCACGTGAGGTCACAGATACCAGCAGCCAGATACCTGGCCATAGCAGAGTGGAAAGACAGCTTTGTGCCACTTCCCTCCCTTGGGCACATCCCCATGTCCAAAAATGCAGGTAGCTATCAGTAGCTGCTAGTCCTGATGGCTGCACTTTGCCTCCTGCATCGAAGGTATTATGCCTAAACACACTGAATGCTGGGGAAGATGGGTTGGCAGGGGCAGGTGCACTCACATTGCTTGTGGGTTTTCAGGGGGCTGAATTCCAGACTAGATGAGCCCTTGGTCTGATCCAGCGTGGCCCTTGGGTGTGAACGTGTGTGTGTGTGAGAGAGAGACAGAGAGACAGAGATTCAAACGTCTCGTGTAGAAAATTAATGAGAAACTATTTTTTAAATGGAACCCCTTTATTTCTTTAAATAAAACACACAAAATGAATGTCAAGCTTTTCCTTTAGTTTTTTATTTGTTTCCCAAATGAATTCACACTCCCAAAGAGATCCTAGCTCCTTCCACTATATGTTTAACATGCTTTTCTATTCCAAAACTGTGATCAGAGCACAGCCCTTTATGATATGGTGCATGTAGGGATATTGAAGAAGTACTCAAATGAGTTTGGATTTCTGTGGCTCTAACTTGGGGATTCTTCAGGGGACCAGCTTTTCCTGAGTTGTGTGGATTCCATGAATTTTTGGACTGACTTATTACTTCTCCTAATATTATGCAAATATAGTTGTGGAAAGTGCAAAACTTATCACAGATTGAAAATGCTCATTTCCTCTCCTAGACTAAAGCATGAAAATGCACATTTTGTGGGGGTGTACATATTTGGTGGGGATTTGAGCATTTTTGGAAGTGTGAACTGGTACAAGTGCAAATTTGCACAAATGCTGATGAACCTATTTGCAAAAACACTGATTCCACCAATGAGCAGGTGATAGAATGAAAACTGCCAGAAGGTTTGCAGATAGAACAGATTAAATCAAGTTTCATTTCTTTAACTGTGTTTCATCCTTTCCATCTGCGTAGGTCCATAGGTGTACAGATTTCTCAACTAGATGTGGAAGGTAAGGGAAGTGGTCATGGGATTAATAGCTCCCTTAGGCTGTGCTGAGGGAGGTTAGAGGGGCAGGTGAGGCCATTTCACCAGCCTTGTAGAAGACAAACCCCATGAAGGCTCTTCTCCAGCAACCATTCCCAGAGGCTGCATTGAGGGCAATGAGAGCAGCAAAACAGGTCCAATCCCACAGCCCTCCTGAAAGACTCCACTTCCCCCCTCTCCCCTCCCCATTCCTTTTCCCTTGTGCATTATGTATTCTTAAACTGTAAGTCTGGAACAGGGATGAGCTTGTTTCCTGATAGCCAGAAATGTGTCTAATCCCCTTCTAAAGCCATCCAGGTTGGGTACCATAACTACGTCCTGTGGCAGAAAATGACACGGTCAAGATACGAGCTGCACCCCAAGAGCAGGTGGGACGAGTGTGCCAGCCAAGCCAGCTTTGCTGGGAATTCAGCTCCCAAGGGTTTTTCAAGTGGCAGCCTTGTCATGACCCCCACAAGTTCTCCATCTGTGGCAACTGCCCCTCATTGAGAGCTGGGAGGGAGTAAGGACCAACGAACCCAGGAGGGTGGAGACACCAGGCAGCTGCTAGACTCATATCACAGGCAAGAGATTCTGGAACACTTCTTTTTCCATTTGAATGTGACCTTAAGCGCCTCTAAGGTCTTCTCCGGGTTCAAAGGCACATCACTTTAAATCTAGGTCTAGCAGTTACACCTTTTTGTATCATTGTTATGCTAGAATGGGAGAAAGGCCCTGGGCCTGTAGTGCGTAGGTGGTAGGGAGTGCTTAACCCATTCTCCAACATGAGCTTCTTGGTCTAGGTTAACTCCACCCAGAGCTGATGCTGGTCCACAAGAAAACGATTATTTATTTAAAACATTTGTACGCCGCCCAATTGTGCCACAGAACCTCTGTGGGCCTGTTTCCCTTCCCTTTCCCTGCCTTCTTTCCTGCTGATTTGCAGGCCTCACTGTAGTTTTTGAGGGCAAGTTCCATCAGGAAATGGGAGAGGGAACTACTAAACATTCTCTGAGAATGGGAACAAGCCAAACTGTTCATTGAGATGAAGTTCATACAATTGCAGGGAGCCCAAGTATCACTGGCTTTCCCATTATTTCCAAGTCATCTGAGCAAATGGAAAAGGTCTTCCTGACTCAAATTTCTATTAAGAGTACCACCGTTCATTCAAATTTTATTTGGATTTAAGCCTGCTGTTTATTTTCACGGAGGAAAGCAGAGAAGATCCATCTGGGAGGCCAAATGGCACTCAAAGTAAGCAATGGATACAATGGTGGCATCACTGAATGAAGAGCTGACAGGGCCACACTGGTGCCGTCACAAGAGAATCTTCAGCAGGATCCCAGGAACAATGAGCAGGAGAGGGCCGTTGCACGGAGATCCCCTAGAAACATCTGGTGTGCATTCTGCTGTTTTAATATAATCAAGACCTGCCACAATAGGGGATTTGCCTTTTTTCAATGAAGTACAGACAGATTTAGAAGTACAACCTTTTATGGTGCTGTCTATGAAAATTCCACCTGCACATGAAAGACAAGATGGGTGGTTAACACTGCTCATCACTACTCTCCAAACCACTCCACCTGGCACGGTTGAAATGAACCTTGTTCCCGATGCAAAGTGAGGCTGTGAAGAACCTGGTGTTCGAGTAAGACCTCGACTGACGGACAATGCCACCTCCTACACCAAGTGGGAATATTTTGGTGGAGAGGGATGCCACCTCTCACCACTAGGCAATCCCACCCTTCACTTCTGCTCCCAATATTAATCCAGAACCCTTTATTTAACCATTTTAATTAGGGATTTTAGATGTTTAACAGTCACCTTTTTATTTATTTTACTTTATGAATGTAATTTATTCATTTCTTGTCATTTCTTGTTTTAACACTATTGCTGATTGCACTTTTAATATTGTTTGTAATTTTTGTAAGCCCTCCTGAGCTATTTTACCAGAAAGGACAGGATATCAATGTTTTAAATAAATAAATCCAGAGTTTACCTTTTTCCCCCTAAGGAGGCTGAACCTTAGGCATGAGACAAAACTGATCCAAGGTTTGGGAAGATAAAACAAAAATATAAATAAATATAACACAAAAGCTTTAAAACAACCTTTCTGCATGCTTACTTTTATTACCACTCAGGCACCAGAAGCCCCAATTCCTAACCCTAACCAAACTTAAATCTTTATTAAGGTAGCACACAGCCCTCTCAACAGACACTGGAAAAGCAGTCTCCTTTCTGGTAGGGTTCAGCTTCCACTCAGAATCATTCAAGCTGCCAGCTAGGCTGCCTCTGAGTGCTCCACTTGGTCCCGCAGCTGCTGTCTCCAGACCAGCAGGAACTGGCACTCTGGCTTCAGTTTTTCTGTTCTCTGAAGAAAAGTCTTTGGAGTCTTGCAGACCAGGAATCTTGCAGAGCTTCCTCAGCCTCCAGGTGTCTTGCAGGCCTTCTCTGTTCCTTCTCCCCTGCTCCTCAGTTCCTGCTCCCCAGTATTCTCGGTTCTGTTCAGCTTCCCATTCTTGTTCCTGCTGTTCTTCCCCAGTGTCTTCCTCACACACTTCCCAATGGCTCTTTCTCAGGCTAAAGCTCTCCAGGCAAAACTTCTGCCAGACTGCTCTGAGGGCCTCTCAACAGCTCCTTATATACACTCCAGCCAGAACCACCCAGCCAATCAGAACCACCCAGCCAACATTCTATCACAACACTCCTGTCTAATCCCAGGGCCAATGGGCATCTTTAGAATGTCCAGTTATTCTCCAATCAGATGGTTCCAATTCTGATCCTGCCTTCCCATATATAATGTCAGAAATCTGGCATCATTTCCTTCTCAACATTTAACTTTGGCAGCCATATTACCAGTGAAACTCTCCTTAGGCTGAAGCCTCCAATAAGCGACACATATTTTTTTCTTCTACTGTTAACCTAGTTAATTCTTCAGTTAGTGACACAAAACATAATAGTTGAACTTTTTCACTGCAATTTTACCTCAGTTTCTTCACACTGGTCCATTGGCAAGAGGTGTATTTATTTATTTATTTATTATATTTATTTATTATTTATACCCCACTTTTCTCCCATTGTGGGGCACAAGGTGGCTACCTGCAGTTCCCAGGTCAGGCCACCTCCAGACCTGCTTGGCTTCCACATGGTTTTCCAGCCTCTGTGCTCTTTTCCCATTCTAAGTGCCTTTCTCAGCGCTTGGTTACTGGCACTCAAGGGTTTCAGCTAACATATGCTGGCACTTTGGTCCCCTCATGTTTTCCATTTGGCCTTGTCCTTTGTGTTCTCATCCCCACCCACTACTGGAATGCAGCTTCTGAGAAATTCCCAGAAGTGAAGTCAGTCCCCTCTCAATGCAGGGCCCATCCAGTTTCATGGAAACAAACCCTCGGCCTATTTAGTGACCAAGTGTCTCGGGGTGATTTTGCTAGACAGCTTCATGTGGATTATGCCTCAGAACTCTTCCCCCTCCCCTTTTTTAATCTTTTTCCCTCACCTGGGGTGGCCACTACGCTTTCCACCAAAGAAGCCCCCCCCCCCACAACACACACACACACACACACCAGCTTGCCAGAAGAAACAGAGGTCATTTGCTTTGACTCAAATGAGAGAGAACTCAGGGACATGTTGTGTCTGAGGTAGGACTTACCAGAATGTGTTTGTGATGACACTTCAAAGCAGTGTGTGTCCTTTCCGGTACAATTCACCATCTTTATTGAACACCCTTCCGACCACGAATAGCATGAGGGACACTGCCTTCCATTGGCTTTATTGTCCATCGGTGGTACTACAAACAGGACAAAGAATTCTCAGTCATTTTGAAGAACAGAAGAAGGTAAGACGGAGATTAAAGCAAGGCGGTTAGGGTGCAAATGCAGGGGCCGTATGCAACCCCGCAGGACCATGCCCTCTTTCCCCCCAAACATCATCACCAATAATAATGAGGACAACAATGATAATTGGTGGTTTCCTGGCTTGTATGTAGTTTTTCCTTCTGCTAAAAGGTTGCAGTCGCTCTTCTAAAGCTTCAAACTACCAGCTGGCTGGGAATGTTGGGAGCTGTAGGTCTCGCTTTTGTTCCTTTGTACTTCAAGCTTGGAATTCCAAGATATTATTACTCTTGCACTATTTCCATGCAGCCTCACAGCTGTCAATCTCAACTGGAAGCTTGTTTAAATCTGTGGACTGCTTATATTAATGTATCTTTGAAGTGGGTGCATTAAATCCTGCTTTCCCCCTCTTCTTATTTTTATATGAAAAGTGATATAAGGACTGCACTCAGTACTTGTGGGCTTCTGAGAAGCCTCCGGTGGACCACCCTGGGGCGGCATGGGATTCTCCTATGTTCATCCTTAAAAACAATCAAAAGGCTTATTTTCATGGTTTCTCTATTTCAGCGTGGCAAGTTGAGCTGTGCTCAGAATACACCAAGTTCAGTAACGGAGCCCAAGAGTGCTGATCCAGCAGGGAAGCGAACTGTAAGAAGTCAAGCAGTAGAAGTTTGGGAATACAAGGTAAGAAGGTCAATCCATCTTCTGCTGATGACTATGAATAACGCAAAGAGAAGAGCTCGCTTCGCTCTGTACCAGACTTGAAAGGTGCAGAGGCAGGCAGTCAAAGCTTCAAATCAGTTTTTAGGAGAAGCAGAAGCCGAAGCAAAGGTACTGCATGCATGCCAGGTTTCAGTATTCTACAATGAATTTCACTGATTAAGTGACAATGGCTTGAAGTCTGGGTTGGAACAAACTTTTTGAAGCCAGGAGAATTAAAAAGTAAGGTTCAGGGGATGAAAGAAATAAAATGGTGAAGGAAAGCACACAGCAAGAAGGACACTCAAAAAGACAATATACCTACATTTAGGGGTGACTTTTCCACAGGTGTCCTCATTGCAACAGACTAAAATGGTCCTATAAGATTTCCTGTCCCCTAAATACAACATGAATGGGGAAGGAGAACAGATGTCCGAGGATTCACAGCCTTTTTCTATGGTGCGTACCATCTTTCCATCTACAGTGCCCAGGGAAAAACGCATTCTTTCAGAGATAGCAAAACTCCCATCATTATGACAAATCTAGCATGTTTAGCTGGAGGATGACAGTGCAAAGCACACAACACTCTTTCCATCACTGTGTCATGTGCAGGATCTTTATCAGTGATGACTGGGTCACATAGGATCAGGGCAGAGGGAGCTGCTCCCTTCCCAGAGCAGCATTTTATGCTCTGATATAGAACGGAATGGCAACAATTTTCTTAAGGGGTGCCTACAAGGACCTTCCTCCCCACCTATAATCCCATGCAAATCACATCTATACTATAAGCCGCCCAGAGGCTTCGGTGAATGGGGCGGCCTAGAAATTTTCTAAATAAATATACATGGAGGCCACGGTTTATGAATCCTGTAAAATGCACAGTGCAATGGATTCTGAGTGCCCAAGAGTTCATAATTCGGAAGAGGAAGGGGGAAAAGTTGGGAGCCATGAAAAATTTAGTGCAATTCCTGCAAAGGCTTCTCAGTGCTACCCTATTTTCCAGCTGTGGAAAGCTGGGTTTAGAAAGGGTTTTTGTTTGCTTGTTTGCTGTTTTTTGTCGGCCCATCTGTAACACAGACGCAACGGTAACTCCTGCATTAGTGGAGCTCTTTGTCCATTGCAGCTTTTATTTTAAGTTTTATTGGAGCAACCCATGGGCTGAACTCCACCTCCCCCCATGGGTTCACCACCATGGAGAACCATGGATGGCTCCTGAAAAAAAACCTATGCGGGATAACTTTGCTTTCCAGGAGGTCTCCCGCCCAGGCATTCTGAGAAATTCTCTTTGATGGATCCCTACAGTGCCCCTTGCACGCTGCCTCCAAGTCTGTGAGGAACAGCAAAACCCAAAATGCAAGCAGTGGAAATAAGCTTAGCCATAATTTGGCCATTTTAGTTCAAATCAGACTGAAGGCATTGTGCGACACGTTCCTTCGGTGTATTGCTGAAGAAGCCACAGAGGACCCACCCAGCACAGTAAGTGACCTTGCCAGAACCCGTGGTATATCCTCAGTCCTGATCTGGCTTAGAATCCTTCCCACCCACCTAGAGTACTTTCAGTATATGCGATGACACAGGTATCTTTCTTGGGAGGACAGGTCTGCATTACTCCCGTGCACTGGGTTCCAGTTTCATAACAAACTTCACACCTTAGAGTGGAACCTAGAACAAGGAAAAAAGTGGCAGGGGGGTGGGGAGTCATCTCATGCTTATACAGGTACAATTTAGAAATATGTGTAAGGTGCAGGTGACTTAAAATGTCCTGCAACATGGCTACTCTCTCTCTCTTTGCAAAAATCGAGGTTATGGAATCTTGTTCTTAGATGAATTGTGGTACATCCTTTTTTCCGCAGAAATGCAGATTGCCTGCCTAAAGGAACAGGTTTTGCTCCCTCGTGCTCGCACAGCTCTGTTGGGCTGCTGGTGGGTAACACATTAGCTGTTACATGCCCCATGGTGCTGGGTGTTGACCCCAGGCCTCGTACTACATGCCAGGTTCTCTAATGATCTCATATCCACACACTGATGGGATCTGAGGCTTTAGCAAACTGTATCATGTTCCTTCAGCTTCAGACCAGGAATGGGAAGGAGTAGATCATCAGATATTTTGAATTTCAGCTCCCAGAAGCCCCTGTCAGGCATGCAAGGAGTCAAAGTCCAAACTATCAGGAGATGTGCTGCCTGCCTACCTGAGCTTTAGATCATAGTCCTGGAAGCTACAGCTAGACGTCTAGGTGCCCACCTGGACTTCCAACAACTTTGCTCTGCTTTTTCTCTGTTGTGGTCAATGCACCATCTATATATATATAGCACTTCACCAAGTGAGATAACCAAGAGTGTTTAATTTTCTTTTCCTTTTGGTGGAGAGTAGTTTGTTTTTTAAAGAAGGATCTCTGTCCGAGGGGCTTATAAACTGTACTTTGGTCAGAGTGAGACCCTGGAATTTGGGATGGGAAGGTAGAAACATCCTGGCACTTAAGGGAAAACATGAACAGGTGAGGTGTGGTTATACTTCATGCACAAGTTTGGGTCAGTGGAGGATGAGAGGTGAAAACCTGAAAAAGTTTGTGGAAAAGCTGTTTTGTGTGGAGCAGTTTGAATGAAGGGAGAAAGGATAACATAGATGTACTGCCTTCCAGCTCTAAAAAGTCCTTGCACACTTCTACCCTTTGATATCCATGCCAGTCATGTAACAACAGAATTATCCCAGTGGAACAAATCTCCGATAGGTACCAGATATCCCTTACCTGTTGTTAGGAGAACAAAAGAGAAGAAGATCCCCAAAAAAGCTCTCATGGTGATGGTGATAGGAATAAGAAATCCACAAACCTTTCTCTCTCTCTCTCCCACCTGGACTCAAATGGCCTGTAATGATATCCAGGGCAACCACATATATATATCAGATGCTAACTTCCCACCATGAACTTGTAAATACTAAGCCAAATTGTTTATGTGGCCAAACAAAAGAGGTGCAAAGGGATATCTCTAAACCTGATGAATGGGCGACTCACTTGCAAACTTGAGTCCAGTTTAAGTGGAAATAACATTGTGCACACTATGGGTTTTTTTAAACCTTCACATAGACCCTGACGGTGTCCTTGGAAGCTGCAAATAGCATTAAGGCAGTTTTCACATGCTGTAAAAATGACTTTCCCTCTTGCTTAATGTCCACCTGTATTATTCACTGAATTAACTGGAATAGGAAATGAATGTCGCCACAGCACCATGACGACATTAGAGAGGATGGACAGCCCCCAGAAACGCTGGCCCCGCGCAAGTCCGTAGCGAAAGGAAGTGGGGATGGGTGGAAGGGAGAGGGCAAGGCCCAAGCCCTCCGCACCGGAGGGGCATGGACCTTTGGAGAAGTGGCTCGTGCAGGTCGCCAGCGGGACCCACTGACCAGCTCAACTGTGCTACTTTGGGAATGTCCTCACCATGATGGAAAGCCCGTCTGCACAGAGTCAGCTCATGTTGTCACGCCCAGTAACTGTCATTTAGGCCATGGAGGTTCCGATCGTCTTAAAGAGTCAGCAGCACATTAGGAAATCAGGTGGCTCACTGAAGTCACGGTTCATACGCTGTTTTCTTGAATTACTTGTTCTGTCTTTGATGGCTCACCACTCCAGACTCTCTGGAAGATCATGTGGAGCAATATATAGACTGTAATATATAAATAAATTGAGTCCCTTTTAGGGAGGCAAGAATGAGCAAAACTCGAGAAGAAGGGAGACAGAAGCGAGTGGGCCACCCCAAGACACTGAAATGAGAGAAGTGGAGGCACTTATCTCAAGGCCGGGCTCCCCAGGTGGGCAGGGAGGCTGGCTGTGAGAACAACCAAAGTGTGCAGTTGGTGGGAGGCGAATTGGAGCAGGGGGGCTTCTCGGACCCAGATGAGAGGCCCCAGCTCTTGACCCTGTTACCAGCCTCAGCCGGTCATTGGCTTGGGCAAACCCCAGGTGGACCCCAGACCCCAAGCCAAATGGAGCCTGAGAAGAGACTTAGGGCCAACAACAGTTTTATTCTAGTGCACTTTAGAATGAGGAGAGACAGAGGGGAGAGGCTTTCCCAAATCAGAGTCTCAAAAGAAGTACAGGGAACATACACAATCTACTCCACATCACAAACATGACGTCCATGTACAAAGTTGATTCATTTGCACGTTGTTGACTGTTCCTTTTGTTAGTTTACAGAAAAACTTTTTATTCTTCCAAGGACTTCCCTCCCATCCGTCCGCTAATAATCTCCCAACCATTCACAC